TTGAACTAGCATTAATGTTATAAACATTGTTCAATTTGGTAGCACAGAAGATTTGTTCCACTTTATTTAGCAAGACATGCTGATGTCCATTGACTTTTTATGAATGACTAAGAAAGGATCTTGGTTTAACGCTTTAATGCTTATGATCACACTGGTGTGATTAGTATAGGCTGGTTCCTGGAGTGTACAATCTTTCAGGTGGGAATAAAATGTTGAGCATCACACAATCAGCTGCTAAATTCAAATCTGTTCTCGTGTGGTGGCTTTTGCTGAAGCAGAGGAAGATGCGTGACTTGTCATAAATCATAATTTATCAGTGTTTTCAAATGTTTTCAAAAGACTTTTAAATACTCATAAGTAGTAGTAGTAGTAAACATAACATTTATGATTTGTAAAATGATGTCTCAGGAGATGACAATAATAATTATTTTAACACATAAAAATGTGCTTTTAACATTACAAATGTGCTTTATTAGGTTACTAAATTATTACTTGGTACTTTTCTCAGTTAAACAACTACTTACTTTTGACATATTTCAGGAGAAAATGATGAATTACCATGTTTTAAATCCAGCAGCTATGCACACTTTGCTATGCGCATATATGAACAGAATTGCTACTAAGTGGATATGTTCCATCTTTAACCGTTTTCTGTTAACTCCTGAGATGGATGTGCATGAAAACCAAATATTACAAGGGTTTCTGAAATACTCAGCCCATCTGAAACCATGCCCTTCAAAGTCACTTGAGCCCCTTTTTACCTCTTTTAAATGGTCAAACATTCCCAGATGACACTGGTGTTTTAGACGTAACAATAACACAGCTAAAACATTTGCCTGAAATCTGAAGCTAGAACAATAACCTCCATCATGGCAATTAATTTCAGAGCATATTATGGCATAATTTATATCATGGTAATCCAACATCAGAGCAGAATTTGAGACTTCCTAGACTTCTCCCTGTTTTTAATAATTGTGCACATTGCTGCAGCCATAATGGATTAAATATTATGATTATTCTTTATGCTGTTTAAACTTTTGAATATATGTTCCTAAAAATAGTCCAGAATCAGAATATCAGCTATTTCAGAATTTAATTTGTGAAAGTTTGTAAATATTTGCAAAAAAAACAACAACAAAAAAAAAAATTTCATGTGATAAACTTGTAAACTTTAAAGCAATGTATTCTTATTATCGATCACATTAACAAACTATGTATTTAAAGCTTATGAGAAAGAGTTAAGCTAAAATTAAATATTCCAATGAAGAAAAAAAAATTGCTTATACCTTGGATGGCCTGAGGGGGAAATGTTTTTATTTTTAATGAGCTATCTACGGTGGCTGAAAGAGCTTAACGTGCTGCAATTTAAGAAAGCACATGCAGTTACACAAAACACCAGCAAATAAAAAAATGACTTTTATCAATATGACAGCACACGTGTTGCAAATTGGTCACAACACAAACAACTGAAGAAACGCGCAGCAAATTAGTCACAACACTTGCAAATATGCATATAACACAACGGAAATGCATCTAGGGGACCCCAAACCATGACGGACCCTGCCGAGACATGGATGTTTTTTTTTATTTATGTCGTGTAATCAAGATATTAAAACAAATGAAAAATAACTCACCTTTCAAAGACCCCCAATCACTTCACTGAGCAGTAGTAACGGCATAATAATACATCCATATCTCAGCAGGGTTCTCATGATTTTGGGTACCCTAGAAACGTTTCCGTTGTGTTACGTGCATATTTGCAAGTGTTGTGGCCAATTTGCTACACAATTCTTCAGTTGTTTTTGTTGTGACCAATTGCAGCGTGTTTCTTCAGTTGTTTGTGTTAGGGTTAGGGTTAGCAACATAGGGAATCTGCAACATGTGTACTGTCAAATTGATGAAGATCGTTTCTTTATTTGCTGGTGTTTTTTGTGATTGCATGTGCTTTCTTTAATTGCAGTGCATTAAGATCTCTCAGCCACCGTAGCTATCCCTTTAAATGTGGTCTCAGAGCCATACACGTTTCATGGAATGGGAGATGGTTGCATCTCTGTTTCCCTCTTAGTTTCTCACTCGCTCTCTATTGTTTTCATAATAAATGCAGTGACCTCGTAAGCTTTGCAAAGATTATGTTAGTAATGGCTTGCTGGGTAGGTCACACGGCATAATGTACATCTGTCCCCTTTGCCATTATCACAGCAATAAATTGCCACTATGAAAACATCTAAATATTAAATATGACAGACAGTGCAACAAAATCAGACGCAAAGTCATTTGATACTCCTTTGGTTAGGCCGACTTGTCTACAGAGTGAAGTGCTTGGGGTTTAAAACCCAAGCTGACAGCTATTAAATAAGCCGCTGCAACTGTAGCTGGTCTGAGGAAATGAAACCCAATTCAAGTCTGACGGAGCCGCCGCAGCTGCTTTAATTACAGATGATGTCTGCAGCAGTTTGGAGGCTAATCCTCGGATTTATCAGACTGCTTTATTATCCGGCCCTTACGAGATTTCTCTAAAATTGTAAAACATTAATGTGAAGTGGGGTCCACATCAGTTTAGAATATTTTGTCTTTTCTAAAGTAATTTAATACTTTCTTTTTCAGCAAGGAAGTGTTTAACTGTTAGTGACAGTATAGATAATTACGTATAATATTACATAAGATCTTTTATTTCAAACAAATGGTTTTCTTTTGAACTTTCTATCTAACAAAGAAGAATGCTAAAAGAATGTATGAAATGAATGTATGTAAAAAAATTTATGAATTAAAAGAACTAATTTTTTTAACACTGTCACTGACAATAATAATAATACCAACAACAACACATTTTAGCATGTTAAAATGAAACTGGATATATATATATATATATACATACAGTTGAAGTCAGAATTATTATCCCCCCTGAATTATTTGCCCCCTGTTTATTTTTTTTCCTCAATTTCTGTTTAACGGAAAGAAGATTTTTCCAACACATTTCTAAATATAATAGTTTTAATAACTCATTTCTAATGACTGATTTATTTTGTCTTTGCCATGATGACAGTAAATAATATTTTACTAGATATTTTTCAAGACACTTCTATACAGCTTAAAGTGACATTTAAATTTAAAGGACATTAACTAGGTTAATTAGGTTAACTAGGCAGGTTAGGGTAATAAGGCAAGTTATTGTATAATGATGGTTTGTTCTGTAGACTAAAAAGTTAGCTAATAATTTGGGGGCTAATAATTTTGTCCTTAAATTTTTTTTTTTTAATTTAAAAACTGCTTTTATCATAGCCGAAATAAAACAAATAAGACTTTCTACAGAAGAAAAAAAATTATCAGACACACTGTAAAAATTCCTTTCTGTGTTAAACATAATTTGGGAAATGTTTAAAAAAGAAAAGAATATTCAAAGGGGGCTAATAATTCTGACTTCAACTGTATTTCCCAAATTATGTGTGACAAAGCAAGGACATTTTTACAGTATTTCCTATAATATTATTTCTTTCTTATTTATTTAATTTCGGATAAAATGAAATCAGTTTTTAATTTTTAAAAGCCATTTTAAGGTCAATATTATTAGCCCCCTTCAACAATTATTTTTTGATTGACTACTGAACAAACCACTTTTATACAATGAACCCAATTAACCTAGTTAAGCCTTTAAATTGACCTAAGCTATATAGATGTCTTGAGAATTATCTACTCAAATATGATGTACTGTCATTTTGGCAAAGACAAAATAAATCAGTTATTGGAAATGAGTTATTAAAACTATTATGTTTAGAAATGTGTTGAAAAAATCTTCTCTCCGCTAAACAAAACTTTGGGGAAAAAAATAAACAGGGAGGCTAATAATTGAGGGGAGCTAATAAGTCTGACTTCAACTGTACATTAGTTAACACTTTTTCTACATTAGTTAACACTTTTTGTTGCTAAGTATTAGCAGATACTAATTAACACTAAAAATATACATTAGTTAACACTCTGATTTGTGATGCATGTTTTTTTTATTTACACTTTTACATTCCATTTTGTCTGTAAATTACGTAAAAAAACCAAGTAATAGACTACTAATAATCTTTTCTGTTATTGTGCAGATTTTTCTCACTATATGTTATTTCTATTAGACCCTTTTCATATTTCTGGGTTTCTCAGTAGGGCAAGACGTCATAGTTGGGAAAACTTTGAGCCCAGTGAATATGAGAATACAACAAATAATTTTTTACAATATTATTTGCTCAGTAATAAAAGAAAAACTCCATGATGATTTTATAAAGACTTTCAGAAAAAGAAAACAAATTGTGTGAGAGGAGAGGATGACATCAAATTTACTGTCCTGTCCCATAGACGCTGCATTAGAAACATCTCGCATAAGCAGTAATTTGTTTTCTGTAATATGAAGCAAAGATGATATACTACATGCATAAATACATAAAAATGTTCATAGGTTTTTAAAAAAAATCTAAGTTTTAAAAACTTTAAAAGATTTAAGATGCCGATGACTGTTAAAAGCATCATAACAGGCTTGTGAAAAGGGTCCAAATGTTGTTTCAAACTACTATGAGAGTGAATAACTAAGAGTGTTAAACCATTCTCGTTTCAAAAACCAAACCTGAATACAGATTCTAGTTTTTATCTGTTTCTTAGTAAGTCCCTGTTCTTACTTCTTGCATGCTAAGTGTTCTTACAGCTGCCCAAACTTTGTTTACACACATATTGATTTCCTTCCTTGAAAGATTATCAGCTACCCCAGATTTGTTTTAATCTGCTCTTCCCATTAACACATGCAAATAAGCTCTGCCTTCTATCAGACAGTCCAGACCCCTGCAAAGCCAGATAACTCTGAAACTGCAGTGTGTTTATGCACTGTTTTGTGCTTCAAAAGTCTTTGTAGAGCCATATCGCAGTAATCCGATATTTCCTTTAGAAGGTGTTGGAGAGTTTATTTAGCTCGTTTGCAGTTGGTTTGCAGTTCAATGGATGTATGTATTAGTGTGTTTGATCAGACTTACAGTGGCATGAAGCCTTCCCCTCTTGTTCATGGCTAGAAATCGGTTGCTGAAAACCCCTCGGATACCTATAACCCCTTGAGACACGGCGAACAGCTCCAGCACACCTAGATAGAGAAAAACACATTGATGGCCGATGACCTTTTTGTACTAAAAGTCAAAGTTCAGTATTAGGCTATGTTCAAACAGCAGCAGAATACAGTTGTTTAATACAAGAATTGGTTAGGAAATTGTCAACTGCATTTTTAAGGTGGTTTACTTGGATTTAAAATGCAGAGTCATATGAAATGTGTTTTCTGTTGTGTTATTGACATACAGTTAAATTCAGAATTATTAGCCCCCCTGTTTATTTTTCCACAATTTCTGTTTAACGATAAGAAGATTTAAAAAGATTTCAACAAATTTATAAACATAATAGTTTATAACATAATAGAACATAACTCATTTTTAATATTAATTAATTTTATATTTGCCATGATGACAGCACATTATATTTATTAACAAGGCAGGTTAGGGGGATTAGGCAAGTTATTTTATAACGATGGTTTTGTTCTGTAGACTATCAAAAAAAAAAATATATATATATATATATATAAAATATATATATATATATATATATATATATATATATATATATATATATATATATATATAGCTTAAAGAGGCTAATAATTTTGACCTTAATATGTTTTTAAAAAAAGTAAAAACTGCTTTTATTCTAGCCGAAATAAAACAAATAAGACTTTTTCCATAAGAAAAAATACTATTAGACATACTGTGAAAAATTCCTTGCACTGCTAAACGTCATTTGGGAAATATTTTAAAAATAAAAACAAATTTCAAAGAGGGGCTTAAAATTCTGATTTCAACTGTATACATTATGTATGGAATGAAGTTTTCTATGCTGTCATCAATTTCAATTTAAAAATGTATGTCACATGCACAGAATGATCTGCAGTGAAATGCTTATACAACCAACCAACAAAAATAAATAAAAAATAATATGAATAAAATTCTTAAGTTATGGAGTATAATAAGAAGTAAAACAGAAATTTTAGATATAAATTTAAAATAGAACAAAATATACCATATTTAAGCTTTAGATTTGAAGAATATAGCAGAAAATAAAACAAAATAAAAAAGTAAATAAAAACAAATCTTAGCAATACAAACAATAACATACACAACATACAAAAAATGACATTGGCTGTTTGTTCAAACTACGTATTCAAAATAAGATGAACCAACACAATTCTTGAGTTTTTTTGTACAACTTAATTGTTTTATGTTCAATCTAATTAAATTTGTCAAAACTAATATGTTAAATTAATTCCTTCAAGTTGTGCCAACAGACACCAATTGTGTGGAACCCAACATTTGTACAGTGTAGAAGTGTTTCTAATAAAGTGCTTGGTGCATAGAGAGGAAAGAGTGCATTCTACAGGTGGTTTGTAGTATCCTACAGCCTGTGGCTGTATATTGTACTGTAGATTTTGTTGCACAATTTTAAGTTTTACTAATTTTAACACTGTTGGAACTGGAATGTGCCAATGTACTGCATTTAGATGTAAATAAGATATACAAATTGACAGCTTTTTTGAAAGTGTAAATTTATCAACTCTCAAAAATGACTCAAAATAGGGATTGGCTGAAAATAGAAAAAAAAATTTGGGGTGGGGGGAGAGCAAAGACAAAAATATCTAGATTTTTTTTTTTGTTGTTGTACATATGGCAGTAGAAAACAGGAGTACATTCAAACTAACTTTTTGAAAGCACAAGTTAAAATCTTTATGTTTTGTGTTGTTCTTTCATTGGAGATACAAGCATCATTACGGAGTAAAAAGCGAAGAGAATTATACACAAAACACATGTGGAATGTAACAGGTTAGAGAGGAGGATTGAGTTACATGTACATAGACATTATTATTCACTTTTGTTCTACTTGCACCAACAATTTGAGTCACATCTAGCAAAATATGTTGAATTCCACACACAGACTGTAAAAAGTTTGTATTCATTTTTTTAACTTATTTTCATAGCAAAAAATATTAGATGCACTAAACACTGTAAAAACTTTGATTAATAATTTGATAGAGGGGGAAAAACTATCTAAGTGGAACTAAAATACTTGCTTTGGTTTAAATAAGTCAGCAAATGTATACTTTGAAATTTATTTTAAAACATTAAAATGCAGTCAACAGTCAAGATGAATAATCCTGACTATAAACACAAATCTAGACTCTGTTATAATATATTTAAATTTGGGTTATAGGTAGGGCACCTAACCAAATAAAAGTGATATTCTGAAGAAGAAAATGATATACATAATACACTGCAACATACTGTAAAACACACTAACAACCTAAACAACTAACACCCCGCAAGAAAAAGGAATGTCATTGCTACAGTTTTAGCTGGTGTACTGACTTCATTAGTTTCAAAAACCTGCCTTTAAGGGCAGTGTTTCAGGTCAGTGATGTTTGCTTTCTAAATATTCTATCTGGCAAGTGGACTTAACACCCGCAGCCAAACTCATAACAGTCCATTTTACGTTAATCTAATTTTGCTCATCTGTTTGACAGTAGACCCTCTAAATAGACCAAGTACTATGGTATGTGTACCGAGCTATTCAACCATTAACAGAAATCTAGTGCATGGCATGTTAATGATGCCACTCGCTCCAGCTTTCAGCTCACTAGCATTCTGATCTCAGCCGCTGCACCTGTTCCCATACCTGTAAATAAACAAGCCTCTCCAAACAAGACACTCACACAATCAGAGTCATAATTCATTCGGCCAGCAAAATCTACAACATCTACTTGTGTTCTGAGGAGTGTTTTCTTATTTTATTCACTGTTCATCAAAAACCTGCAGTGATTCTGTGTAAATGTCTTGCAAGGTGATGCTAAACTGTTAAACCGTCAATGCCTTTGAATCATTTTAATGATACTTTTCAATCGTTTTAATAATTTATCAGCGTTATAAATGTAAATAGCCACAAAAAGACATTCGTGTTAGTTTATTTCTAAGAGAAAAAAAATCAAAGGAAGGAATCTGCAGTGTGGAAAAGAGATCAGTCAGTCAGAAATGTGAACTTCGCTCTCCTCATAACCATTGGTAAACATGTAACTTACTTAACGAATCTGGTTCGTGGCTCCCGTTGACTCTTCCATCGATGTGAATCTGAAGGTGGAAACCTATTCCAACTCTACAGTACAATCTGCCAGTCCTTCGGCCAGATACGCGCCCTTCCTCGACAAGTTGGTGCTCCAAATACGCGCGTTCACGTCCCGTAAGCTGTGCAGAGCGCGGCAACTGAAAGAGCAGAAAAAGCAGGAGAGGAACGTTCATTCTTTCCAGAGAGCGCTAGGCCACTTCCAGCATTTTTGCCGCTGTCCCTGCGCACTGAGGTAACGCGCTGTTTTACTGGTGGGCATTACCCTCGGCTGCAGGAGCTGGAGCAGATCTGCTGGCAAAGGGATATTTATATCACAAATGATCTCACTGCTTGATGCGTGCCTGAGATGTGCAGGACGCTCTCTCTCATCCTCAGTTTGTATCGGACGAAAGTTCACACCGTCCTGAGACCTATATTTCGTTGAAAATGAAAGCGTGGACAGGAATGCGCTCTTATTAGAACGCGGGTCATTTGCTGACAATTAATGATGTTTGAGGTGATACAAAGTTGAAATCTGCTTTAAAACGCACGTGGTGTGTGTTTTGTTTTCATTTGTTATTTTGAAATGAGGAATTTACATGTGCTCTATATGTAAATATAGTTCATTCAAGCAAAAAGTACGAAATTATCTCAGTCTTTGTGCAATGATATTGACTCAACTTTGAGTATTATGAATGTTTGATCTAATAACGAAACGGGCTCCTGCGTATTGGTTGACTTTCACTGGATTTTGTTTGGCATAACATTGATTACTGATTAATAAAACATATTGCGATTAAGACGCTTCCTTGCACAATAATTTTTTCAGTCTTTCTTTTTCTTCTTTTTTTACTTCAATCCCGACCAGAAATTCTATTATATATATATATATATATATATATATATATATATATATATATATATATATATATATATATATATATATATATATATATATATATATTTCCTCCAGACATGTTTATTATAAGAAACATGTATTTAGGCTGTTAGATAAATTTCTCAAAAAATCATCCTATGGAAAGAGTGACGCGTTATGCATTTTACGCAGGAGAGAATATGTATGCCATTGGTTGGACGATCAAAAACAATTATGACTGTGAGGCAGTGGTAGAAAATGTCTTTCCTAAATTCTGAATTCCTGATGTCCAGGTAATGCAAAAAAATTGCGCGTCCTTAAGCACGAACACAAACTTGTCAGCATTAACTTAAAAAATGTTGATAAAAGCCTAATTTACATGTATGAACTCGTCACAGTTTTTGTTTTTCTGTTGACTAGAAGTAGGTACACAATCTTAACCTACATATTTTACATTTTTATTAACCTATTTATACAGAAAACATTAATAAATATCTGTTTGATTTATTAATTTACTAATTTTATTGTTATTTCTTATCGTTTATATTTGAAATTTGACTTTCTGTACAGTATGAAGTGATGATCTGACAACAGTGGTAGCCTACATGCTGAATCATAGAAGGAAAAGCACCAGTTTTATCTAATAGTTTTTAAAGTAGGAATATTATCAATGCAAATGTTGCTATTTGATTTATTTGTTTATTTAAAAAGTTACAATTATTTTGTTGGCATATTTCCTCCTATTTTTTATGTTTAGGATGTGGTTTTCAAGAACGTCAGCAGGCAAAGTGCATGCATGTTTATTTTATTTTTTTATTTTTTGGCCCAATGCCAACATGGATTAGTTTAAAGTAGCACATGTTAATGACAACTTAGATCAACCAAAATGTATTATTTAAACAACCAATATGTTGCAATTTCATTGGGTGCTTTTCATTGGCCCTCTAATAATTAAACAATGGTAATGTCAAGGCCAGTTGTTTTAATACAGCTACCTGCTGAGTGAAAAGCAGCACTACATGCTTTCTTTTTAAAGGACAGCACAGTGGGATTTTCACTGTTCCTTTTAAAATGAACGGAACACATGAATTTCAATCATCATTATTATAATCATACAATATTTTGCTGGATGGTTAATAGTTAATTTCAGGATTTAAGAAATGTCATAAAAAATCTGAAAATGCTGTATTTACTGTAGAATTAGTAAAAATAACTATACAATGTAGCTAACATCTTATGTGATGTTTTATTCTAGCAGTTAGAACTTTAGAAATAAATAAAAAGATGTTCACAGCCTCAAGTGGTTTCAAACCAAAAGTAATTTATGAGAGAAATTTGCAGGTTTTCAGTTTAAAATATGTCCAAAATGACAAAAAGGTTAAATACATCATGCCTAAAGTTTTATGTAAATGATAAATTCACATAACAGATAACAAAGTGTGAATGTGGTTACTTTTTTCAGCTCTTTATTATTAGTCGTTTAGTTGACAGGTACAGTTGCTTGTCATTGCAAACTTGAAGAGCAATGTCTTTTTTTTTAAAGGCACATACATAATATGCGCTTTTATTATCTTGTATGCATGATCCTAGAGCGTTTGTAATTTTTCTCACAGCATCTTAAGTTACCTATGTGATGGCTGCCTTCAGTAATTTGAAAAGGAATGTGTCGGGAAAACATTACGATCTTAATCATTAGATAAATGACTGAGATGTGGAGGTCCGTGATGTATTCTTCTCTTTGTTTCACTTGCTGAACAACATGGATTGATCACTTTAATGTAAACAGTGCAGACTGTTTACCTCCCAAATTGTAAAGGCCATTTGTTTGTGTTGGACCCTCCAGTAACTGCAGTGAGGTAATACACCAGATGAGTATAAACACCAATGATCCTGATTGATTCGTCAACGATCCTGGCTTTTAAATACTTTTGTAGTATCATGTAGGGCTTCCTCTCTTGGGGAAGAGTCATTTGTTATTGTTTTGGCACTAGTGATCATTGTCTGCGAATTAAGCTTTTGAGTAACAGGGGAGGAGATGAGTTTTCAGGTACTGCCACAAATGACAGCATCTGGACAGTGTTAAGACTGTCTGGCCTGTTTAAAGATCGCTGCCCAATAATTTTGTCTGCTGGCTGATGGGTTTTAACACATATGCTTAAGCTGTATTGGTTGTGCTGTCTGAGGCTGTATGTTGTATATTATGTACCTGCAAAATTTGTCACAAGAAGTCAAATATTACCTTAATGAATGTGCTGTATGATTCTGGATAAAGTGAGATTCTATTTTTGTGTTGCGGTTGTTATAGAGATTGTACTATTCTGAATAGACAATCAAACATAACAATTAACAAGATGCGGTCAGTTTGAAATAATTTGTTTATGAACGGTTCTACAAAGACTTTGCTTGTTTTGTTACTGGTTAAATCTGCATTTTTTAACAAATCGATTGAATCATATCTGGGTTTCTATCATGTTATTGCAAAATTTGAATTATCGCATGATACACTTTAATGAGTGTTGTCACGATACTGGAATTTAGTACCAGTTAGTACTGAAATTAAAAAATGTCCATTTCCCACTAACATTTGAGCGCTTTTGAGTGCATTCTTAAACAACGCTGATTTACCATTGTGTTCAAGTGCTCAACAGATATGACTTTGATTGGCCATGAAGGTCATCAGTTCACTGAAATCACTGCTGTTTACTGAGTGTAACTACAAATACAGTGACACTGGAGCATTTTAAAGCCACGAAGATCAGCTTGTCTGTTTATGAGCTGGCATTCAAGCGATCTCCTGATGAATCGACTGATCTTCATGGCTTTTAAATGCTCTAGGGCTATATCTTGACGATCCTTTGCGCAAAGCGCAAAACGCAGGGCGCAAACACTTTCAGGGCATGTCAGAATGCATTTTTGCTAATATAAGGATGGTCTAAAAGGGTTAAGTTTATTTTCTTAATGAGTTAAAGGTGTGTTTTGAGAATAAACCAATCAAAGTCTCATCTCCCATTCCCTTTAAGAGCCAGTTGCATCGCGCCATGAGCGAGAATGAGAGATAAATGATCTACTTTCACTTTCGCTCTCGTGCATAGGGAAACCTTTAAGCACAGACATCAATTAGCCTATAAATAATTAATTTTGTTTGTTAAGCGCAAATATTTGTTTCAAAACTATTTCTAAATTCAGTTCTAATTTCCAGCAAACGAATAAATGAACAATAATAACGAAGTGTGGTCAAAAACCTTTATATCCAAATACACATGCTGTGCCCCATATGGTCTAAAATCTGCAGGTGGGCAAATCTAAGCGTGTTTTTAATAAAACAAATATTCATATGCATATAATAAATAATACTGCTAATAATAATACCATTATACAAAAGCAAATTGTTATGAATGAACTGAAAAAGCCTCCCAAGATGAAAAAGGCATAAAAGCAGGGTTTTTTTCATATTTATGTAGGCTAGAAAATAATATGTTTTGTAATATTTGAATCCTTTATATTTATATCCTATATATATTCTTATTATATCCTATATATATCCTTAATATTAAAATTTTTTTCATATGTAAAGATATTTGCATATTTGCTCTACATCTTGTGCGTATTAAGCAGTGTGTAAGCGAGGTGCAACTCTGCGCTGGAGTTTAGACCGGGTTTGTTTTGGTCTATTGAAAAATCTATTATAGTTTCTTAAAATAGCAACGCGCAATGCGCCTCAGAACACCTTCCTTTTTAGACCAGAACACAATGGCAAATCAGCACAGTTTAAGAAAGCACTCAACAGCGCTCGGTTTAGTATCGTGACAACAATACATTAAATTATTTTTAAAAAAATAGAAAACAATGAAAAAATTTTACACTCACGTTTGTGAGTGGTACTCATGTACCTTTATTTCTGAGAGTGCATTTGCTTGCCTAGTTTACTGTTAGTTACTACAGTAGGTTACAAACTCTTCAATCAGCTGTTCTTACATTTTTTTGGAAACGCACCTAATTCACATTTGGGACTTTTCATATTCTATTATTGCCATTATGACGGAAACCTTGCAAATGAGTGTTTATATTAGTTGCCATCTACTGGTGTAAAAGTGTAACTAATATTTAAAGTCATTCATTCATTTTCTTTCTGGCTAAAGCCTGGTTTATACTTCTGGATCAAGTGATCGGCGTGAACCGCGGCACATGCAATGCGCGTAGCTGTGCATTCATACTTCTGAACGCTGTTTGTGTTCCTCTGCAATAACACTTCCGAAATGCTAGCTGGTTGTCACTGGTGTTTTGTTTTTTCTGAACGCTTCCTCAATGTACAAGTGG